CAATATTGAACTCCATTTTGAAGTATTATATAGCCACATTAAGACTTTTTGTAGGCTTTATCTTAAACTTTCTGGCTACCTCTAAACAAAATCGGGCCTGACGGCTATGTTATTTCCAAAAAATTGGATTATCTCCCACTGTTGTTTAGACCACCCTAGTATATATACTATGTTGTGTGAGTTTTCATAACAAAAACTGACTTAATAAGTTATTGATTGTTTTATTTAATGTCTAATATTTCAATTGTTTTTTTTTTTTTTTTGGTCCAGCAAAAACATAATTTGAATTTTATGGAAACATGAGTAGCCACCCACCTAGCATCAATATCAAGTGTTTCATTTTGAAAAGAATTTGATAAAATTAACATATCGCTCATTTACTACCAAACTGGTATAACTCAGAATTCGGACACTCTTGGTTTCAAAAATATTTGATAAATAAAAAAATAAAAATTTTGATGAGAAACATTCTATTGACCTTTACTATCTAAGTCTGGTTTCAGTTTGCAAATGTCATGATTTGTTTATAAGATATTTATTAAGTTCCCTTTTCTCGCAAAGATATTATATTTTTTGGATTATACCAGTCTTATAGGAAATGAATGCTATATATCTATTTCAATAAACATGTATTGCAAATATTATTATAAATAGTTAATTTAATTATTTTACACAATATGGCGCGCATACCAATATAAACATATAATCAAATTGCAAAAAAAAAAGTTTTAATTAGTATTCATTGTATCATTTGACAGTTACAATATTTTGAAAATGTAAAAACATTTAATATTTATAATGCCTGGTCTGAGAGTACAGGCGGGAAATTTTGATTCCCATTTTAGTTGTTATATTGTCACTGTTATTCTATTGAACTGGTGTTTAACAAACAAAAAAAAAACATATTTAATTAAATTAAACAAAATAAATAAAATTAAATAAATAAACAATGTACAAAAAAAAGATTTGCTATAAATACAACAATGATATGATATTACTAATTAAACGTTTTTCATATGCAAATAATGTGTTTTTTTAAAGATTTTGGAAATTATTTATAGATAACAGTAAAAGTATAAAAAACGAGTGTAGAATAATTAAAAACATTAGAAATGGGATAATTTTTTCTTATCAAAATTTTTTATAAAATATTAAAATAGCTTATAAGATTTAAGTTGTAATGCAATAAATAAAATTTCCACTTTTAAGACTATACATTATTCTTTAGTCCAGACTATAGTATATTTTATACTCCCAACTATAGTCTATAGTCCGGACTATAGTCTATTCTAGAGTATAAACTATAGTATAAACTTTAGTCCAAACTATAGTCGACTCCTTAGTCCAGACTATATTCCAGATTTTGGCCTAAACTATAGCCTACTGTATAATCCAGACTAATGTCTATTCTATAGTCAAGACTTTAGTCTAGTCCAGGCTATAGTCTAATCTATAGTCCAGGCTATAGTATATTCTATAGCCCAGACTATAGGCTATTGTATAGTGTCTATTCTACAGGCCCGACTATAGTCTATTCTATAGTCCAGACTATAGTCTATTCTATAGACCAGACTATAGTCTATTCTATAGTCCAGACTATAGTCTATTCTATAGTCCAGACTATAGTCTATTCTGTAGTCCAGAAGATAGTTTAATCTATAGTCCAGAATAAGGTGTATTCTGTAGCCCACACAGACTACAGTCTAGACTATAGTCCATTCTATAATACAGACTATAGTCTGTTCTATAGTCCAGACTATAGTCTATTCTATAGTCCAGACTATAGTCTATTCTATACTCCAGACTATAGTCTATTCTATAGTCCAGACTATAGTCTATTTGATAGTCCAGACTATAGTATATTCTATAGTCCAGTCTATAGTATATTCCATAGTCCAGACTATAGTCTATTCTATAGTCCAGACTATAGTCTCTTCTATAGTCCAGACTATAGTCTATTCTATAGCACAGACTATAGTCTATCCAGAATATAGTTTATTCTATAGTTCAGACCTATAGTCTATTCTATTGTCCAGACTATAGTCTATTCTATAGTCCGGACTACAGTATATTCTATAGCCAAGACTTTAGTCTAGTCCAGGCTATAGTCTAATCTATAGTCCAGGCTATAGTATATTCTATAGTCCAGACTATAGTCTATTCTACAATCCAAACTATATTCTATTCCATAGTCCAGACTTAGTCTATTCTATGGTTGAGACTATAATCAATTCTATAGACCAGATTATAGTCCAGACTATAGTCTATCCAGATTATAGTTTATTCTATAGTCCAGATTATAGTTTATTTTATAGTTCAGACCTATAGTCTATTCTATTGTCCAGACTATAGTTCAGATAGTCTATTCCATAGTCCAGACTATAGTCTATTCCATTGTCCATACAATAGTCTATTCTATAGTCAAGACCATAATCTATTCTATAGTCAACATTCAGTTTGCTTAGCATGGTTGCAGATTTTGCCAAGGTATCAGCGATATTGTTGCCATGTGTAGTCCCGAGTCTTTTGACACACAAAAGGGTAATGGTCGAGGGTAATTACAAAGGGTAATGATGTAGAGAAAACACTAGTCAGGTACTCAATAGCAGCTTGATTTTCAGTATAAATTCTGTTATACCTGATATCCGATGGTACTTCAGCCAATTTGATGCCCTCTTGACCGCTGATATATCAGCATGGAGGATACTATAATCATCATTGAGTTTAATTAAGATTTTAGTCCCAAATTCTCCCATGAAGATGCTTGTACCGACTCCTTTCTCTGTCTTGGATCCATCTGTATATGTACGGAAGCAATTTTTAGACGGAAGGAGAAATTCTTCAGACTCAACTGCCCCGAAAGATGCAGTAATCAACGGCATGTAGCGGGTGCAGTATAAACGATCTTCGCATGACCCCTAAAGGAAGTGTTCCTTTTGCCAGTCAAACGTATTCTGACAGCAGTGCACATTGTCATTTGTTAGGCTAGGATATCCAATGGAGGCCAGTTAAGGAAAGCGAACAACGCCTTTGTGGGAGTTGTTATTTTTTTTATACCCTCCACCACCAACAGTGGTGATAGAGGGTATATATAACTTTGTCATTCCGTGTGTAACACCAAGAAATATTCATCTGAGACCCAACAAAGTATATATATTCTGGGTCCTTATCAAATTCTGAGTCGATTTAGCTATGTCCGTCTGTCCGTCTGTCTGTGTAAAACACGCTCACGATAAAACGAAGCAATAGAGTTTAACCAAATTCACCCAAAATGTTCTTCATTTTCCTAAATTGTTTGGTATTGAAAATGGGCAAAATCGGTTCACACCGGGAAAAGTTATGAATCAAAATTTAAAACAACCTCGAAAAAATAGCATTTTTACATATTCTGATGTAATTTTCTCGAAAACTATACAATATAATTCCATGAAAATCACCACACATTCGTTTCTACACAAGATCTTGATCCCTACTGAAAATTACTAGAATCGGTCCACAATTTCATATACCTCCCATACAAAAGTACATATTCCCGGAAAATGGGTTTTTTGTTAATAACTTCCGTCAGAATGTTGATATCTTCACAAAATTTTACAAATTAAAATCTTATGTCAAAAGAATTCATTCAGAGAAAAAATTGTCTGAATCGGTCCATAATTGGACATAGCTCCCATACAAGGTCCCCTCCCGAAAATCACTTAAACGCGCATAGCTCATTACTAAATTAAGATATCCATATAAAATTTGGTATAAGTATTGCCCATATGCATAGAAATATTACTCTGAAAGTTTTTTCCGATCGGTCCATAATTGGTCATAGCTCCCATACAAGGTCCCCTCCCGAAAATCACTTAAACGCGCATAACTCATTACTAAATTAAGATATCCATATAAAATTTGGTATAAGTATTGCCCATATGCATAGAAATATTACTCTGAAAGTTTTTTTACGATCGGTCCATATTTGGTTATTACCAAATAATGATATAGATACAGAATTTTGAAATTTTGTCTTTATATACACAATTGGTTATAGCTCCCATACAAGGTCCTTTTACGAAAATCTCTTAAACGCACATTACTCATTACCAAATAAAGCTATACTAAATTACGATATAGATACAAAATTTGACTGAAATGTAGCTTTTATGTACAGAAATTTTGCTTAAAGAATTTTTTACGATCGGTCTATAATTGATCTTATCTCCCATACTAGGAACTGCCCCTTAAAGCGCTTTAACCTTATTTAAGTATTTGCATTATCAATTTGTGTAGAACAAAATTATATATATGTATTTTCAAAATCCTTAAATCTTTCACACACATGCATACATGCAAATTATAAAAATAATAATAAAAATATAAAAGAAAATGGCGTTTATAATGTTCAATAAATCTTGGAATTGTAATAGATCTAAGCTGTTTAAATCTTGGGATTTTTCTATTTAAGACATGAGAAGACTTATTTCTACAAATATTTGATCAATTAATATAAAAGTAGCTGGTGGAGGGTATTTAAGATTCGGCTTAGCCGAATATAGCACTCTAACTTGTTTTAAGATGATATCTGTATGACTACTTACGACTTCTCCACAGATAGCACACATAAAGAGCCGTTATGGCCTTTGATAACGCCCAGGTATTTCGCTCTGTCCGGAAGATTTATCACCTTGCCATTCAACCGAGAGAGAGGAAAGGATGGGCTCTAGTTTTTTGAACTTATGATCTTAAAGGCTTGTTTCAATCTTTGAGACATAGTCTCAAGGTGATTTCCAGACTATAGTATACTCTAAAGTGCAGACTATAGTCTATTCTATACTTATATATTTAGTACTGTTAAACCATTTGGTTCCACCGGTTATATTTCTTTTCACATTCTCGGCACATTTAGCGAAATATTATTTCAAATACATGCCGCGAATAAAAAAAAAATAATTTTAAACAAAAGATAAAATCAAAATAAATCGAAACTATGGGAATCGCCTTAAGAGCTCACTTACCTTTCGTTTTATTTATTATTACAATAAAAAATCCATTACAAATCGATGTTTAATATATTAATCTTCCTCCTAGCCACGTGTGGTCTTCCAATAACATCTGTTTAATTATTTTTTTTATTTAGTTTATTTATTTAATAGATTTTTCTTATTAATGCTTTATTGATTTTAAATTGGTTTTACTATAATTAAATAATTATTACATGAATTATTATAGAATTTAACAAGCAGCTAATTAATTAATTAAATTTTTATTTTATTAGCATAAATTGTATTTAGCATGTTAATCACTTGATTGTTTTAGTTTTAAGAGAGAGATTTAGCAGCTACAGTGTAAATTAAATATAGAATAATTTAATACACAATTAAAATATTACTAAAACCACATAACTTAATTTTTTTAATTTTTTTTTTATTTTTTTCTCAAATAGATAATTTTATTTATTGTAGAAATTTTTAATATTTCTCTAAATTTTTTGTAAATTTTCTTAACACTTTTGATTCTATTTAATAAATTTCAACCAATCACTCATATTTAAATATTTAATTAAAAACCGCGCCATTTTTTAATAATTTTTACCGTTATTTAACAACAACAACAAAAATACCATGACACAAACTTGTTGCTTCCACTGAAAACCTTTGTTATTAATGATTGTAATTTCTTTTTACCGTTAATCAACTCAAAAACTTATTTCTTTGCGTCCGCAATTTGTATTGTTCCCGGCGAGTATTCGACACACATCTAAATTGTTTACTAAACGAAAATAAAGAATTTAGTTGAAAGAATGAAAAACAAACGATTGCTGGCGACCCATTACTTTAGAAACTTTTTGCACACACTCCCATACATAGAGAAGGGCAAAAAAGCTTTTTCTTTATATACAAAATACAATGTTCTGTTATGTAGGAATTATGTGGAACCTAAAAATTTACCGGTTGTTGTTATTGTTTTCTGTACAATTTTAAAAAGGATAAAGAGTATATAAAGTGAAAAATTTACGGATATTGTTAAGCTTTCCTCTATGAAAGTGAGTTTGTTTGTATAAGAGATTGTTAAAAGCTTTTTGTGGAGTACAATAAATTTATGGATGGTATTCGATGTTTTATTGTTGTGGGTTTTATTTGTGGGTTATCCATTAAAAAGCTTTAAATATTTGGACTTTGTGGTTTGCATTGTAAAACAATACAAAAAAAGCTTAAAAACCATGATGGATTTTGTGGATTTAGTGGATCGAAGAGTTAGGGTTATCAGACTTGATTTTAAACCTAAATTAAATATATAGCATCATAAATCGCAATTTTGAAAATTATAATTAAAATTCGCCAATCTACTTGATCGATTAAATTTTCCATAGTGTAAACTATAGTAAATTCTATAGACAACACTAGCATAAACTAATCCAAATAATAGTCTATAGAACTTTCCAAACTATGGCCTATTCTATAATATACACTATTGTCTATTTAATAGTACAGATTATAATCTATTCTATATTCCAGACTATAGTCTATTCTATAGTCCAGACTATAGTCTATTCTATAGACCAGACTATAATCTACTCCAGACTATAGTATATTCTAGAGTCCAGACTATAGTCTATTTTATAGTCCAAACTATAATAGCCTATTCTACAGTCCAGACTATAGTATATTCTATAGTTCACACTATAGTCTATTCTATGGTCCAGACTATAGTCTATTCTATAGTCCAGACTATAGTCTATTCTATAGTCCAGACTATAGTCTATTCTATAGTCCAGACTATAGTCTATTCTATAGTTCAGTCTATAGTCTATTCTATAGTCCAGACTATAGTCTATTCTATAGTCCAGACTATAGTCTATTCTATAGTCCAGGCTAAAATATATTCTATAGTCCAGACTATAGTCTATTCTATAGTCCAAACTATGGTCTATTCTATAGTTCAGACTATAGTCTCTTCTATACTCCAGACTATAGTCCAGACTATAGTCTATTTTATAGTCCAGACTATAGTCTATTCTATGGTCCAGACTATAGTCTATTCTACAGTCCAGACTATGGTCTATTCTATAGTCCAGACTATAGTCTATTCTATAGTCCACTCTATAGTCGAGACTATGGTCTATTCTATAGTCCAGACTATAGTATATTCTATAGTCCAGACTATAGTATATTCTATAGTCCAGACTATAGTATATTCTATAGTCCAGACTATAGTATATTCTATAGTCCAGATTATAATATATTCTACAGTCTAGTGAATAACCTATTGCATAGTCCAGACTATAGTCTATTCTATAGTCCAGACTATAGCCTATTCTATAGTTCAGACTATAGCCTATCTTATAGTCCAGACTATAGTCTATTCTATAGTATAGCGGAATAGGCTATAGTCTGGGCTATCTATTCTACAGTCCAGATTATAGTCTATTCTTTAGTCCAGACTATAGTCTATTCTATAGTTCAGACTATAGTTTATTCTAGAGTCCAGATTATAGTTTATTATATAGTCCAGACGATAGTACATATATTATATAAACCAGTTTCGAGAATCTAATACAGTTTGGGCTATAGAATAGTTTATAGTCTTAACCGTATTCTACAGTCCAGACTATAGTATATTCTATAGTTCACACTATAGTCTATTCTTTGGTCCAGACTATAGTCTATTCTATAGTCCAGACTATAGTCTATTCTATAGTCCAGATTATAGTCTATTCTATAGTCCAGACTATAGTCTATTCTATAGTCCAGGCTAAAGTCTATTCTATAGTCCAGACTATAGTCTATTCTATTGTCCAAACTATGGTCTATTCTATAGTTCAGACTATAGTATCTTCTATACTCCAGACTCTAGTCTATTCTATAGTCCAGACTATAGTCTATTTTATAGTCCAGACTATAGTCTATTCTATGGTCCAGACTATAGTCTATTCTACAGTCCAGACTATGGTCTATTCTATAGTCCAGACTATAGTCTATTCTATAGTCCAGACTATAGTCCACTCTATAGTCCAGAGTATAGTCTATTCTATAGTCCAGACTATAGTATATTCTATAGTTCAGATTATAATATATTCTACAGTCTAGTATATAACCTATTGCATAGTCCAGACTATAGTCTATTCTATAGTCCAGACTATAGCCTATTCTATAGTTCAGACTATAGCCTATCTTATAGTCCAGACTATAGTCTATTCTATAGTATAGTGGAATAGGCTATAGTCTGGGCTATCTATTCTACAGTCCAGATTATAGTCTATTCTTTAGTCCAGACTATAGTCTATTCTATAGTTTAGACTATAGTTTATTCTAGAGTCCAGACGATAGTACATATATTATATAAACCAGTTTCGAGAATCTACTACAGTTTGGGCTATAGAATAGTTTATAGTCTTAACCGTAGTATGGTTAATCTATAGACTGTAGTAGATTCTAGATTCTATAGAGACTATAGGCTATTCTATAGTACAAAATATTGAAATGGTACTAACTTATAACAAAAATAGTACCTTTTAGGTTTTAAAGTACTAAATTAATTTTCCAGTAGACTATAGACCAAACTATATACTAGACAATAGACTGAACTATAGACTAGACCATAACTAAACTATAAACTGTGCTATAGTTAAGACTTTTCTATAGTCAAGCCTTTTAACAGCCCTACAGTCAAGACCTAACACTGCTCTATAGTTACGACTATAGAGTACTCTAGTCACTACTATATCCTGCTCTATAGTTAAGAGTCTCGATTATATATTGTTCTTTAGCGAAGACCATAGACTTTTTATAGTCAAATTTAATACAAGAAACAAATAAATATAGTCCAGGCTAAAGTCTATTCTATAGTCCAGACTATAGTCTATTCTATGGTCCAGACTATAGTCTATTCTATAGTCCAGACTATAGTCTATTCTATAGTCCAGACTATAGTCTATTCTATAGTCCAGACTATAGTCTATTCTATAGTTCAGTCTATAGTCTATTCTATAGTCCAGACTATAGTCTATTCTATAGTCCAGACTGTAGTCTATTCTATAGTCCAGGCTAAAGTATATTCTATAGTCCAGACTATAGTCTATTCTATAGTCCAAACTATGGTCTATTCTATAGTTCAGACTATAGTCTCTTCTATACTCCAGACTATAGTCCAGACTATAGTCTATTTTATAGTCCAGACTATAGTCTATTCTATGGTCCAGACTATAGTCTATTCTACAGTCCAGACTATGGTCTATTCTATAGTCCAGACTATAGTCTATTCTATAGTCCAGACTATAGTCCACTCTATAGTCGAGACTATGGTCTATTCTATAGTCCAGACTATAGTATATTCTATAGTCCAGACTATAGTATATTCTATAGTCCAGACTATAGTATATTCTATAGTCCAGATTATAATATATTCTACAGTCTAGTGAATAACCTATTGCATAGTCCAGACTATAGTCTATTCTATAGTCCAGACTATAGCCTATTCTATAGTTCAGACTATAGCCTATCTTATAGTCCAGACTATACTCTATTCTATAGTATAGTGGAATAGGCTATAGTCTGGGCTATCTATTCTACAGTCCAGATTATAGTCTATTCTTTAGTCCAGACTATAGTCTATTCTATAGTTCAGACTATAGTTTATTCTAGAGTCCAGATTATAGTTTATTATATAGTCCAGACGATAGTACATATATTATATAAACCAGTTTCGAGAATCTACTACAGTTTGGGCTATAGAATAGTTTATAGTCTTAACCGTATTCTACAGTCCAGACTATAGTATATTCTATAGTTCACACTATAGTCTATTCTATGGTCCAGACTATAGTCTATTCTATAGTCCAGACTATAGTCTATTCTATAGTCCAGATTATAGTCTATTCTATAGTCCAGACTATAGTCTATTCTATAGTCCAGGCTAAAGTCTATTCTATAGTCCAGACTATAGTCTATTCTATTGTCCAAACTATGGTCTATTCTATAGTTCAGACTATAGTCTCTTCTATACTCCAGACTCTAGTCTATTCTATAGTCCAGACTATAGTCTATTTTATAGTCCAGACTATAGTCTATTCTATGGTCCAGACTATAGTCTATTCTACAGTCCAGACTATGGTCTATTCTATAGTCCAGACTATAGTCTATTCTATAGTCCACTCTATAGTCCAGAGTATAGTCTATTCTATAGTCCAGACTATAGTATATTCTATAGTTCAGATTATAATATATTCTACCGTCTAGTATATAACCTATTGCATAGTCCAGACTATAGTCTATTCTATAGTCCAGACTATAGCCTATTCTATAGTTCAGACTATAGCCTATCTTATAGTCCAGACTATAGTCTATTCTATAGTATAGTGGAATAGGCTATAGTCTGGGCTATCTATTCTACAGTCCAGATTATAGTCTATTCTTTAGTCCAGACTATAGTCTATTCTATAGTTTAGACTATAGTTTATTCTAGAGTCCAGACGATAGTACATATATTATATAAACCAGTTTCGAGAATCTACTACAGTTTGGGCTATAGAATAGTTTATAGTCTTAACCGTAGTATGGTTAATCTATAGACTGTAGTAGATTCTAGATTCTATAGAGACTATAGGCTATTCTATAGTACAAAATATTGAAATGGTACTAACTTATAACAAAAATAGTACCTTTTAGGTTTTAAAGTACTAAATTAATTTTCCAGTAGACTATAGACCAAACTATATACTAGACAATAGACTGAACTATAGACTAGACCATAACTAAACTA